AGAAACAATTGCAGTCTAAAAATGACCTGGGCATGTAGTCCTGGATCATCAGGAATTATATTGTGTAACAAAAATAAAATAATAACAATAATGATAATAATATGCATATAGAAAAATATGAAGCAAAGCAAAAAAAAAAAAAAGAAGAAGAAGGGAATCCCTAGATTACTGGGATGCAATTAATCCTTTATTCATTGAGCATATCTTCCTTTTGTAGCCTGGATATGTAGTCGGAAGCATGCAGCTTATGACGCTCTTGGCACTCGATAGATGGAGGCTCAGGACTACACAGGTACAAGTTGTGCACATGCTCCCCATAGGACAACACGAGTCACAAGTGGCTATGCCTTTGCTGTTTGTTCTGTTTTCATCCTTTCATGCTGAGAGCTGAGGTAAATGTTTACAAACTTTTGGAAACTAGCATATTAATTTTGATCCAAGGGATGGGTTGTTTCTGGGTCAACTGAGGGATATTTGAAATGGTCTCCAGTTGGAACACAAACTATTTCATTTTGTAATTATGAGAGATAAAACCAGATTTAATTCAACAACTTTTTTTAATTGCTGTAAACTGTGTTGTAAATTTATTCGTGTAGTTTGAATTGGAGTTTTCATAGGTTCAAAACAAAGTAGCATTGTGCAAAGTTTTTCATGTTTACAAGGAACTCTTACTCACTGTCCTGGCAGTGCACACTGTCATAGTAGCATTGTGAAAATCAGTATGGAGGATTCTCAAAACATTAAATGCAGGATGTCCATGTGTGCCAGCTGTACCACTCCTGATGCATGGACAAAAGGCTCTACATCTTATCACAGAGGTACTCATGCATCCACGTTTCTTAAGGTATTTTTAACAGTAAGGAAATGGAACCACCTAGATGTTCACCAACAGATAAATGAATAAAGAAAATATAGTATATGTATACAACTGAATTTTATTCTGTAATAAAGAAAAGCAAAATAATGAAAAGAGATTGATGAACACAGAAATAAGGGAGATTGATGGGACTAGAAAGTATTACATTGAGAGGGTAACCAAAATTCATAGACAAAACCATGTAATCCATTTTATGCACAAATCTCAGCTTTTAATGTCTATATATGTGTGCAAAAATAAGGGTGAGTGTGGATATAACCAAGAAACTAACAAGGAGGTTGGGAGAGGAAAAAAGAAGTATCCAGGAAGGGGGACAATAGCACATTTGTGACATGAAAACAGAAAAGAGGATAGGACACAAGGGTGGGGTGGGGCAGGAATGTATGTAAGAATATTGGGGTGGGTAATTAAAATTTTATTTTAAAATTAAACCTACCACTGTGTAATTAAAAAGTAAGCTGAAACATGTTAGATTGTCAGATAGCATATTATTGGTAAAAAAAAATCTGTCTAGAGGAATTCCATTTCATACTATAATATTCCCACTTCTGGACTAGTATATGCTTAAAACAGTTGGTAGACTTAAATGTGTTTCCTAATGTAATAAGGCAATCTCAGCTGTAACAATGTTAACTTCACTTTGTGTCTGTATTAGCATTTGTTATTTGGCATCACACTCAGAGATTTGTGTGTTACAAATGGTTAACTTCAGAGGTAATAGTTTCAAATTGGGTTGAGCAGTATGTGATCTGCCTAATTGGCTCTGTTATATTTTAACCTTTTGCCACTGAATAGTTCAAAATACAATGAGGAGTATTTTTGCTAAATGTAAGCATTTCTCCCTTATGTAAGCCTTATGTTATTTTTTACTCTATATCAATATTAGTATATTATTTTGATGCCTATATCTTCTAGGTGTGTAGTGTAATTGTATTTACTGTTTTGCTTATTTTTAATCAATAAATACATTGTAATTCACATTCTTAAACATAATATTTTGTATTTCACTTGTAGCTTTACATTCTCAAACATATATAGTATTTTAGACTCTCCTTCATATAATTATGATATATTACTGGTTCCATCATTAGTTATTGAGTTAAACAAAATCTTTGACACATTGAAGTTTTATTGTATGAGGTTATGATCATGTTTTTTTTCTAAAATACTTTTTTATTCTTATTATTTCTAGTATTTAGTACAAACCAACACATTGACATGGGTGCAGAAGGGGAAAAATTCTCTAAAAATGTTCTATATGACAGGAAATTTTCTTACAGTAGGAGAATCTGTGCATGTTATAGTTTTAGCATGGGAACCAAATTCATATCTTTTTAATTAATTTATTAAATTAACTTACCAGTTGATTGAAGTCTTTAAAGAGAGGACTAAAGACATCATTATTTATTTTGCAAAGTATTTCATCACTTGCTGCAAGAATTTTGTGAGTTCAATTACTCTGTACTCCAGTGAAGATAAGCGAAAATCAATGTTAACTTGCAACTTTAATATTCACATGAAAATCCAAATAGAGATTTTTAAGTAGCTATAACATAAGTTCTTTTAAGTAAATGGAACATCTTGAGTATGTTTTACAGATAATGTTTCTGTGAGCAAATTAAAACACAAAGGAAAAGGAAATTAAAATAGATTCACATTAAAATATCTAAGCAGTGAGAACAACACTGCGAGTACTACTAATCTCTACACAGTTTGTTATATTTGAACAACAACTAAACCCCAGAATGGATGATTTATCAATAAAAAAAAATACAAAGTCACTTCTAAAAACGTCCACCATGACTTAGCAAATAATTGTAGAAAAATGATACATCTAACTTTTAAAATGCTAGAAAGTCTCCAAATGAGTTTTTAGGCACCAGGGAAGTTTTCTTTCAAAACTGTCAGATTTTTTTTTCTACAAGCAATACAGAAAGTTTTAATTGGCACATCACTCTTAAAGAAGTCTAGCTTCAAACATATCATTACAAAACTAATACTGACGAATCTCAGACTGGTGTGGCTGAGGATTACACCGCAGTGATGTTAGCAATAAAGATATCTCAACTACACTCAACATGATAAAATAATAATAAATCTGGAAATAATAATACCTTTTAAGCATGGTCTCTGGTAACAGCATTCTCTGCTATCATTTATGATTAATACTTGACAGTTTGGAAGAATGCAGAACTACACGAACACTTTCAGCAAGCATATGAATCTAATAGCTAAAATCTGAGTGTCATAAAAGGAAGTTTTATACAGTTTTGGCAAATGAAAGTTCGGAACAATCAGCATTCCTTTTTAATGATGACTTGCTATAAATCCACAAAATTGAAACTACCTTAGTAACAATTTTGCCTGTATAGACAAATTACAAATATATCTATCAGATCACCTAATACGACCGTTCTTGATCATTTGAATTGTTTTCCTTGACAATTTAAACAACTATTGAAGCATAACACACTATTAGTAATGACTAAATCTTTACTTTCACCCATTGTAACCTGACTGACATACTTCAAAAAGCATATATGACTTTTCCCAAACTGACTTTTACTAATTGAAGGCAATTTTGTTCTGCAAAAAGTCCAAAACAAAGCAATATTAGAAAACCTGAATCCATTAATATGTTGCTTTACTCATGAACGACTTTCTTCTGTCTTAATTTAATTATTACTTAAATGCCTGACAGTTCCTCCTCAAGGCTCTCTCTGGCTTGTATTATCATCTGTGGTAGTCTACTGAAATACTGAAACAGTGCATATCGTATAGATAAAATTCCTCTATGGTTCATTAAAAAAATAACCTGGGTCTTTTTTCAAAACCATTTATCTTCATTTAGTAAAAGTAAGTAAACTTGTATTTTAGTAAATTAAAGTCCACACATGTAGCAGACTAGCTTTCCTTGCTGTAATTGTTAAAAAATTTCTGATTTCAGTAAATCATCATCAAAATCAAAGAAGAAATATGGCAGCACACCAAAGATAATATGTTTGTAAAATTATGGCTTTGAATTTTTAAATAAATATTTCATATCTTATCACTGATACTTCAGGGTTTGTTCTTAGTTCTCAAACTTCTGATGCTGGTATCTGGTTGTCCTTAAAATATTTACCAAATATAGAATTCAAGACTCTACCATAAAATCAGCCCAGATACAGTATCAGATAATAAACTGCAGATGATGCTACATTATCTATTTGCTTTCTAAGTTACCTAGGTTATGTTTTTAATTGAAACAATAAAATAAAATGACAGAGTATTTACAGGGTTTTTTTTGTTTGTTTGTTTGGTTGGTTGGTTGGTTGGTTGTTTTTTTTTTTTTTTTTTTTTTTTTTTTTTGCACCGCAATCCTCTCTCCTTATCTATCTATCTATCTCTGATTTAGAAGATAAAAAGAAATCCTTCATTGATTTCCTTCATGTAAAATGATTGCTCACTTGTCTACACAGTAGAAATGGAAAGGCCAAAGTTTCTATTTACAGATTCAGGAAAACCGATTTCCTCCTGTGCCTGCGGTAAGATTTCTCTTTAACTGGCAGTGTTTGCAGCTTCCACCAATATGTCTCTCTAGTGATTCAGAAAAGGATTTCAAATTGTAGGCTTTGCTCACCAAGTGTCAAAATGGTTACAGGATACAGGATACAACCGTATGTAGCAGCAACTGAGAAACCCATAGGAATTCTGTTCAGCTGCTTTTCTTAAAGAAAAGAACATGAAATTACAGAGATAATGATAATCTAGTCCATTAGAGAAGTTAAAAAAAGTGGGTTGGAGTCTTTTCTGGGCAAACCATTCACTGACACCAAATGACAATAGGACAGAGAGTTGCATAACAAACAAAAACCAAATTTCTTTTCATGTCTGTAAGACTGAGTGAGGTCTCCTCAGGTGAGAATAGCAGAGCTCTGGTCAGTATGGGTGTGAATGTGCACAGTCGTCATCCATTTGTGAGAGCATGCAGGGTTGTGCGGGTTCCAGCGTGTCAGCTTCCAAGAGCTGATTGTGCTTATCTTCTTTCCAGTTCCACATTCAGTGATATCAGGCTGGTAACTTGAAATCAGCTACAGTGGGAGTATTTACTGGCCAACATTATCAGTTGAGGCTTCCCCCCCCCCAACCCCCCGCCATAGAGAGGGTTGTTAAGCATTGAGCATCACACATCTCATTTCATTTGAGGGCTTCCTTCGTGGCATCCAAGAAATCCATTTGCTACTAAATCTTCTGATTATAACATTGTTTGTTCAAGTGGCACAAAACAGGTGAGCTCTCTCTATTTTCACATGACTAGATCATACATTTTCTCTGGCTTTAAGGTGACATTTTCAATATCCTGGATGCTTTTTCCATTTAAGTGTTCAGTGGGACAGTCGTGACTGTACCCTGGGATATCACTGATTGTTGACACTGTGTAGGATGCACTGCGGAGAGCATCAGAGTGGGAAAAGCCATTTCCAAACTGGATTTTATATTGGTTCCAGTTTCTTCTCAGAATTGCTTGAACCTATCAGTCAACAAGAAACAGAAACAGTAAGGACAACCCATTAGTTGAGATTCTACTTGAAGCACAGCAAAAATGTTTTGCAGAAAGGGTTTGTATTTTAAATTGGAAAGGAAGGCCAAGTGGCCCTGGTCTATACTTTTAACTGCTCGTGAAACCGAGGCAGGAAGATTTCAAGGTCAAAGCCCACCTGAATGCTAGTTCTGAATAAGCTCAGGCCAGCCTGAACATCTTACTGATACTTTGTGTCAAGTAAAAAGTAAAGAAGCAAGAGAGATTTAGCTCCTTGGTAAGTTGTTTGCTTAGCATGTGTGATGCCCTAAATTCGGTCCCCGGTACCACACATACACATACAACGCACGAATTTTAAGTAAAACATTTTCATATTAGAGAAATATTGCAATCAATATCTGTACTTTTTATTTAATTAAAACTTTAATTTTTTAAATAATAATCAAAATTTTAATAGTTTATTCTGTCTTCTCTTTAAAGCTGTAATAATCCAAATATAGTATATGTATTCTTGTCAAACACAATTCATCTATACCTTTCATATTCAACATAATATGTATATATGATTTTATATCAATACCTAACTGAAATGAGAGTGTAAGTGTTGAGAGTATATAGGAACTGAGGAAATAAGCAAACAAAAAGAATATAGCGACAGGAGGAATCGTGCTATCATCATCATTAACAGTAGCTTTTATTGAATGATTATTGCATCCTAAAATTGTGCTGCTTTTTGAAAATAATAGTTCACAGACCTTACTTCTGAAAATAATGTAATGCATTAGATTGGACAAAAGTTATTGCAAAAAATGCTAAGGAATATTACTACTCCACTTCTGCATATTTTATCTCTCTTTGCTTTTTAAAGTATTTTCAAGGATTTATTGTTTTTACTTTATGTGCATGATTACTTTGTCTGAATGTTTTTGAGTGCATCATGTGCATGCATGCCTGGTACTGAACAAGGCCAGAAGAGTGTATTAGGTGCCCAGAATTGTAGTCACAATGTTTTGAGCCATCATGTGGATACTGGGACATGAACCTGGTCCTCTGCATGTGCAGCATATTCTCTTAACTCCATCTCCTTCCCCTATATCTTTCTTTCTTAAAACAAACGTGAAGTTTAATGACTTTCTTTCCTGGCTGAAATTTGAGATTATGACTAGTTGTGTCAGATATAAGGACACTGATTCTGATTGAACTTAGAACACTAGAAAGTCTTTTTTATACTGAATCATTAAACACAAATAAAAATATTCAGCTCCATCTCAGAAACTATCACTTTTATACTATCAGGTCTGAAAAGTGTGTGTGGCTAGAGATTGGCCATTTTTAGGTCATGAAATATTTGCCCTATCCCAGTGGCATAATATATGTTTGCCTAAGTGATCATTGTATGATTAGGTTTTACCAAGATGTTATCTAATTTTTGACCAATTTTTATGCCCCTCCATAAGGATCTAAAAATTTCCCAGCTATTCATGTACTCTTAACATCCTTGGATGTTAAGGATATATAGTTAGCTTTCTACTCTCGTATTAAATATTAAATATTATTATTATTAAATATAAAATATTAAATATTTTATAAAGTCTGTCTTGTTTCTTTTCTTCTTCCCTCTCCAAACTCCAAACATTCTGCAACCAGTACTGATTTATAGGAGACTATGGCTTTGTGGGTACAGCTTTGGGGATGCAGCTTTGGCATGCTGGGAAGTGTCTTATATGCTATGACTTAAGAAGAAAATAAATTTTTCCTGTCTTCTTTCATGTTTTAGTATTAAAAGAAGAGGAATGGTCAAATATGTAGCCATCCATCTCTTAAATATAATTCAATATTTACTATTGACATGTCCATTTCTCAGTAATGCAAATTTTATGTAAGTAAAATTCTACATTCTCAGTTAAATGATATATTATTAAGAAATTCAGCAACTTGTGGGCTTTCAGGACCACTCCCTTGTATTTGGTAACAAAAACTAATGTATATTCCTGTAAGTACTGTGGAAATAAAAGAATTATAGGATAATGCATATATTTATCTTGAACTAAATTGCATTTGTTTCTCTTGTGGCTTAGTAATTCTAAATCAACAAAATATTTAAATTAAATAACTTAGTAATATTTATGTATACAATATTTTCAAAAATGTAATCAAGCCGAGCGTTGGTGGCACACATCTTTAATCCCATCACTATAGAGGCAGAAGCAGGTGGATGGCTCTCTGTGAGTTTGAGACCAGCCTGATCTACAAGAGCTAATTCCAGAAAAGCCTCCAAAGCTACATTGAAACCCTGTCTCGAAAACACAAAAAAAAAAAAAGAAAGAAAGAAAGAAAGGAAAGAAAAGAAAGAAAGGAAAAAGAAAAAGAAGACACCCATCTTGAGCCATCTTGAGGTCCTAAGACTGATAGTTCTAAAAGAAAAGCTAACCAAACCCCAGCAGTCAAAATGCATTTGATCTATTAGATGTTTGTCCTTGAAGAATTTATGATAATGATCATCAACTTCTTTCTTCTCAGTGTCTAAATCACCAGGAAAAAAAAACATGAAAAGACAACATCCTGAAATGTGGGTTATGATTTACCAAAGTTTTTAAAAATGAATTTAATAAAGAACCAGGATCTTTGCAAAGTTGTGTGTTAAGAATGTTACATTTTGGAGTGGATGGGGATGGGAGGGGGAAGTAGGTGTGAATGAGGGGGAAATGGTAGGAGAGGAGGGAGGGGAAACTGTAGTCGGTATGTAAAATAAAATTTTACAATGTTAATTAAATAAAATAAAATTTTAAAAAGCATGTTACATTTTTAACTGCTTTCTCTAATACAAGATCGTGCTTATTTAACAGGTGTTAAATTATAGACATTCAGTGCATTTAAATGGGAAGAAATGAAAACTATGTGGCTGGGTGCTATTAAAGATATGGATATGGTTTCAGCAGTTTGTGTATGAGTTTTATATACTTAGCACAGTATATGCTCTATGCAATGAGACAGGTCAATAATACTCCTTAATCAATTTTTAATAATATGGTAGATGTTATAAAGAAAATATCCAGTTTTCTTAACAGATATTAAGACTTCTCAACAATTTTTGTTGTTGTTCAGTTGACAAAAATATATATATAACGCATTGTTGTTTCATATGCCCTTCCGAAGAACATAGTCCCTTGTTTATGTAACCAGGACATATTTTTATTTGAGTGGAATGGTGTTGAAAGTGGCCCGGCCACTTGTCAAACTACACTTAACTAGCAAGAAATGCTAAATGGAAGATAGATGTTTGCTAAAAATCAGCAGTGAGAGTCAAGTACAAGTGCAGATATTAGGCCACTTGACCTAACGTGAAGGGCAACTAAAACCAAGCAACTGATTTTAACAAAAACATGACATACTTGGAACCACACAAACTGAATCTGGCGGCTATTTCTTCATGTAACAAGAGTGGGAAAGAATCAAGAAGAGACAAAAAAAAAAAAGGGAGGGATTGAGGCATTTCTTAAGATGAGGGATGAATCATGCTCCAACAGGCATTGTGTCTCCCAAGCAGAGAGAAAGAAGACAGTTGCTGCAGATGTTGTGATGAACAGAGGGATCTGGCAACAGCCTAGTTCAAAGATTTTCTTATTATTAAAGTTTTCCAATGCCAAATTTTTCTCAATTTAAGGCATGGCAGAAGAACAAGGTACTGTGTCTCTTTTGTTTATACAGATAAAGGACAACAGGAGTACAAGTCATTAACTTCAATATTCCCTGGACACTGTTTCAGAGGGAGAGCGCCAATTCGAAATTTAGATTGCAGCATGACTAATGTTCCCATTTCTACATGGTTTTTCATTGAAACAATGAGTTATTTGACCAACATAGCAATGAAGCTATACTAATCTAAGGATGTGGTGAGGCTGGGCATTGTATGAAAATTTTACATTCCTCAGTTTACATTCACCTTTTCAACACTGGCATAAATAACTTGCTTTTATTTTCATTTAATAAGGACAAATATACTTTCTTGGTTCCAAATCTTTCCTAAAATATAACTGCTAGGAAGAAAGAGGCATCTTCAGAGTTTAAAGGCTACTGCCATGTACATTCTCCATCTCCTCCTACCCTATTCCACTACTGACTTACCTACTTTACAAGTGACTATAAATTAAATATTTTAAACCACACTATTCTGTGTCCATAGATAAAAAGCACATCTTCCATATTTCATACATGCTCTTGGGCATGTGTTCATATAGTGCTTGTGAATATTTAATTGTTATAGCCAACATCAGCAACTTATAGGATTGCCTGAGTCAGTGCATAGCCATAGATATATACATAATAAGGGCTGTATGAGTTTTCCTGTCAAAATGAAAGATTTTTTCAGTCCTTTCTTCTTGCATTCTCTGTCTACAAGTGTCACTGACTAGAGAAAAATGGTCAATCTCATGGATAACATAGAAGAATCACAGAACTAATTACAACTCAATAGCTACATTTGGCAGTTCACTGTTCTATCTCACTGTTATACACGGTGTTATAAATAAATATAATGGCCAGGTGGTGGTGGTTCATGCCTTTAATATCAGAAGGAGGCAGAGGCAGGCAGATCTATGTGAGTTCTAGGCCAGCCTGGTCTACAGAGCTAGTTCCAGGAGAGCCAGGGCTACACAAAGAAACCCTGTCTCATAAAAACGAAAATAAATAAGTAAATAAAATTTAATGGCTATAGGTTCAATTGCATATATGTTAATTGAACAATTTGTTTGATTACATCCAAAGGGAAAAAAGTAACAGTTTGCTTAGACAAGGAAAAAGTACTTTATAGTTTCTCATAAGAAATATGTAATTTCCAATAATTTATTTTATAGGAAATATCCTCATAAATTATGCCAACTAGGCCATGTGTTCCCCATCTGAGGTTTCCTAATGAGTTTCTCAGTTATCCAGCGCCCATTTCTCACAGAGTTGCTGTCTGGATTTCTGTGCTGTGCTCAACTTTGCTAGCATGCTCCAAATGAAAACTGGCCAAGAAGACCAGAAATAAATAAAAAGCAAAGTCAATAATGCTCAAACAACTGAGCTGTAACAGTATCCATATGTATACAAATATGCACCCGGTGTCAATCAGGAAGCCGGCTGTCTGTGGGGCCTCTGACAGTGGAACCAATGTTTATCCCTAGTACGCAAACGGACTTGGGGAGCCCATTCCCTATGAAGGGATACTATTTCAGCCCAGATACATAGAGGATGGCCTAGGCCCTCCCCCAAATGATGTGACAGACTTTGATGATCCCCATGGAAGACCTCACTATCCTTGGGGAGTGGGTGGGAGGTGGGATGGGGGGGTCGGTGGGAGACATGGGAAGATAGGAGGGAGAGGGAATGGGAGAGGGGATTGATACATAAAATAAGATTGCTTCTAAATTAAAAAAAAAAATATGCACCCACCCAATTAAGTTACTGAAGCCTCTCAAGTAGGAAGTCTGATGGGAGATGTCATTCTGTATATGTTTCTCATACAGGTTAATGAATAAGGCACTGTTGGCCAATAGGAAAGGAAGATAGGAGGGACGAGGAGACAAGGAGGAAATAGGAAGTAGGAAGGAGGGGTCAAGATGGAGCGTCTGGAGAAAGCAAAATGCTGGCCGGCTCCCCGGTAAGAGAAATACATAGATCAGCAGAAATGAGTTAATACTTAAGACAGAGCTAGCCGATAAGAAACTAGTACCTGGCCAACAGAATTATATCTAATACAGAGTCTCTATGCATTGTTTGGGGCTGGCGCGGCAGCGGGACCAGACCAGGCAGCAGGCGAAATAACCATACTCCTTACAGAAACCCTATAAATCTGCAATGTTAATTCGCTTTAATCATTTTATATCTATGGGAATAAAACTTTCAAAAGATTACAAAGTTGAGCCTGTTTCTTGGTACAATGTATGCTCTGTGAAGTTAAAGATAGTCCAGCATCCAGACTTAGTACTTTATAACGGAAGATCAAGGGACTGATTAGCTAGTCATTGGAATTTTTCCCTATTTTTCATCTCTAATATTACTTGTGTTTTGAGATGAAAGTTTGTACCTACAAAAAGTAATTTTACATTATTTTTTTCTGTGATAAAATTGTTATTTGAAATAGTAGTTTTGGACTTGGGTGGTGGTGGCACATGCCTTTAATCCCAGCGCCCAGGAGATAAAGACAGGCAGATCTCTGAGTGTGAGACCAGCCTAGTCTACAGAGCAAGTTCAAGGACAGCCAAAGCTACACAGAAAAACCCTGTCTTGAAGGAAAAAAAAATAGTTGTTACAGAACGAGTTCATAATCCCATCTTGTTTTAAAAAAAAAAAAGTATAAATTATAAAAGTAGTAAAATCAATAAGCTTACCTCTCCATTAAAAAAGCAGAAAATTGTAGACACCAAAAGGCCCTGTTTAGGAAAAAAAAAAAAAAGACAGAATTATCTGGTTCTATTTTTTATTATGTTCTTTATTTTTTAAAACAATTTTTACATTTAAAACATTTTGATCATATTCTTCCCCTCTCCCAAAGTCATTCCAGATCCTCTCCCCTTCCCAACTTTAAGTTCTTTCTCAAAAAACAAATGCCCAATACAAAAACAAAACCAAGAAAACAAAATAAAACCACACCCAAAAAGGAAAAACAAGCAAAAAAAAAACAACCACCAAACTGTAACCAAATAAAAGTGCACACACACACACACACACACACACACACACACACATTATATGTTGGTCACCTATTCCTGAACATGAGGCCTGTCCTGGAGTGGTTGATGTAGCCAGCGTCACTCCATGAAAGAAAACTGGTTTTTCCCACTCCCAGCACATAGGTGTGAGTGACAGGTCGATTGTGAATCTTTATCCTCAAGGCTAGGTTTTCACTCATTCATTTATTTATTTGTTTAAAATGTAACAAAACTAAATACAATAAGATAAAACAACACTATCACACCAAAGTTGGGAAGGAAAAGAGCCCAAGAGGAGGCACACAAATCAAATAGGCTTTGTGTATTTATAATCCACTTGGTACATAAGCCACGAAGAGTAAAACCAAACCTACATGCAAACTCAGTACAAAACTTGTCAAGGGCCCTCTTGATTAGCAGAAGCGTCTTACCTGATAGTGCATCAGGATGTGCATGACATAGTCATACACCTCCTCAGCAACCCTTCCTTCAGGCCGCCATGGGAAAAGCACAAACTCAATGCCAAGGAGCGGTACCAAGATGAGGGTAGCTCTCACAGCTTTCATGTAAAGATTGGACTCTGCTTGGTGAGTAACTTTCAGCTTGGTGATCAGAACACGAACAATATTTAATAGGAAAAAGAGATTTACCTAAAAAGAAAATAAAAGGCCAGTTCACGTTTGATACTAAAAAGCCTTATACAAACTCCAGTTTTATAAAGCTTCTACTATTTTATGTACAAGGACGGGGGCACATTTTGTATCGTAATACACATATTAATTAGTATGTATTTATAGAGTGATGCTATTCAGTTTACAGGTACATGAATTTTGGTGAAATTAACTTTTAGAAAAATAAAATTGTGGTAGGATTATTAGGGAGTACATTTATTCAGTAAACATTTGTCATTTTCTTAGTTCATTTTCTATTACTTAGTAAAAGTAATTATTCTTAAGAAATGTTAAGCTTTAAGAATTTACCCATGCGTGTGTGTGTGTGTGTGTGTGTGTGTGTGTGTGTGTGCGTGCACAACGCGCGTGCACCCATGGATGTCAGAGAAAAACATCAGATCCCTGGAGCTGGAAACATAGGCACTTGTGTGCTGCCCAACATGCAGCTGAGAAGTGAACACAGGTCTTCTGGAAGAGCAGCAAGTGTTCTTCACTGCTGAGCCAACTCTCTAGCCTCAACAAATGTTAATTTTTAAAAAATAACCTTTTTTCTCAATGCCCATATTGTAGATTCTTCAAGCATATATTGTTCCATAAATACTGTTCTTATGTATTTGGTTTCTCCTCCTTTTTGTAATCATCTTCACAACATCTTTTTATACAAACATTTCTTACAAAAAGTACCTGATATAGGACTGTAATTTTCTTTATGCTTGTGAAGAGCTAGTCACACAACTGAACTAGCTGATATTCAACTAGATGATATAGTAAGAACTCTTGGCTTTCCACAACTTCCATAAATAACTTTCTATAACTACAATTTTGTACTTATTGTACTGTAGCAACTTTCCCCAAGAGATTACATTGTCTTTGAAGAGATTTATAGAACTCTGAAAATAGAATTTGACTCAGTAATTAAGAATCTGTCTTATGATACAGTAATTTCAATTCATTTCTCATCCCTTTCATCCACTTTCTCCAAACTCTACTTTCTCTCCTTTCATATTGACTGCTTTAGTTCCCTTCCTGTTCTGTGATAAAATACTCTGACAAAGTAGTGTAAGGGTCTATTTTAGCACACAGTTCAAGGGGTAGCCTGTTATAAAGGGAAGTGAACGCAGCAGGAAGCTGAAGCAGTTGGTCACATTCTATACTCAGTCAAGAATCAGGAGCGAGGAATGCACACTAGCGCTCCTCTCACTTGCTCCATTTCATAACGCCCAGGATTACCTGGCTATGAAATGGTCCTGGCCTTGATTAAAATGCATCTTCCCACATCCACTACAAGTAAATCACCTACAAACATGCCAAGAGGACTATAGGTGATTCTAAAGCCTGTCAAGTTGACAGTTAAGACTGACCACTATATTGACCAAAATACAAACTAAATTTTGTTCATTTCCCGTGGACAATTCCTCATGCTTTTAAGGGGATTATGTACAAAAATGTCATATTGGGCAAATTTGTTAATTTCTTTCTTTTTTCTCTCATCTTGACTTCTATGGCATCTGTCCCCTGTTTAGTAACCTAATCATAATATTTTAAATAAACAAATATGTACTTTACATCTATAAACCTTAATAAAGTCAAAGCCAGGAGGTGGTGGCACATTCCTTTAATTCCAGCATTCAGGAAGCTGAGACAATCAGATCTGTGAGTTTGAGGACAGCCTGGTCTACAAAGCAAGTTTCAGGATAGCGAGAGCTATTACTCAGAGAATCCCAATCTCAAAATAAATAAAGATAGGTAGGTAAATAAACAAATAGAAATTCAAGCAATGGTAGCCCATCTCTTGAGGCAAAAAAATGAATAATTTATTAGTTTTCAACATGTGCAGTGAAAATGATTAAGCATAAAATTGTGCCACTGTTACTTTAAAAATATGCAGCTAACCAGACTCCTAATGAGAGTTCATCTGTGAAAAGAACGTGTTTATAGACACTGGAATGCAATGAAGACAAAGAGATTGCCACTTGACAGGTGGGGAATGAAAGACGATACGAGTCAGCATGCCGGCTGTACTTTTACCCCCTCGAAATAGATTTCCCTCTTAAATACATACGGAGATTTTTTTTAAATAAATAAAAAATAACTACCACTTCCTGGGGAAAAGTTGGGTAATAACTTTTTATCCACTTATAAATGAACTTTTATCCATTTATAGTTATAGGTATAAATTATAAAGCAGTTTAAAATCCTAATGTGCATAAAGACATTTAAAAATGGTAGAAATGTGGTAGTTTAGATCTACCCTCAGTGAAAGAATAGTTCGATACAAAGGGATTCTTTAAAGCCATCATGCTTATTTAAAACATGAAACTGGAAATGATGAGGAAGCTAATGTTTATATAAGCTTCTCTATATATAGCAGGGGCAGGGTGAACTGGATGCCATGCTGTATGCAGTTTCCCACATCAGTAAGTATTTTAAGCAAAAGTAGAAGAATTTCAAATTTTAGATGAACTGTATTTGAATTTCATCTAACTCAGGACAGACCTGGTTTAAAGATTCCTGGTGTTTTCATTTATTCATGGTTTTTGAGAATTTTGTACTAGAGTACTTCAATTTCATCATTATCCACACTCCTCTTCCTTCCTGAAACCCCGCTCAGGTACACCCCCATCCCTACACCCTCTCAAATGCAGGGCCTCTTTTCCTTTATTATTCCTGTTGGGGTGTGTGTGTGTGTGTGTGTGTGTGTGTGTGTGTGTGTGTGTGTGTGTGTCTTTAGGCACGAGTATAAATATGTAAGCATATCTGTAAGTGTTGCTTGTGTGAGCTCTTGGTTAGCCGATTATGATGCCCATCCCTGGGGAAGATGAAAAGGTACAAGTATTAATGGCTGCTGAGAAACCTGTTTTTACTAGGACATCCATAATGTTCAATAGCCTGTAGATGCCACAAGATATCTTCATATCACCACAGTGTCCAGGGTCACAGAAGCAAAGTGTATCAGCTGCAGGAATAGTGTGAGAAGACTTTCACACTAGGATGACCACGCATTCCTTACCTACACCCTCAAGTGACCTAAACATCTCCAAGATCTCAAATCTCAGCAGTATATAAAAGTGTTGTAGTTGAACCCATGCCTGTTCATGGTGGAAGAGTGTGAAGGAAGACGTCTGAGTGGGAAAGATGGATGGTGGTTAAATGACTTATTTAATTAAATTGTACAAAAACACATGAACTAGAGCCCCACCCATCCTCCTGGAATTTAAAGGGCCCTGGAGTTAAAAACAAGGACAGAACAACTTAAATCAGTTAAGAAATAGTCTCTTAGTTTTGTCTTAGGTCACTTTGTAAGAGTCAAATGTTTTATGAAGATAAACTACATATTTACTTTCTTTTACTGAGCAGTGTGATGAGCTATCTGTCATTTTTACTGAGGCTGTATCTCTGGTCTTCTCTCCAAAAACTGGTGTAGACAGGCTTTTCTGGAGACTGAGTTCACTGTGGTTACATTTTCCATTTGGTAGGTGCTTTAGCTTCATCAGCATCTCTGGTTTTAAGAATTTCAATCACAAATAGCTCTGCACACTGTGATTATATGCAATAAAATATTGACTTAGGTTTATTTATGGGTGTCCCACACAATGTTAATTTCTTTGAGTTCTGTTCCAACTGAGTCATGGTATCATGCAGAAATTACAAGTAAAGAATTGTTTAAAGAATTCTTTTGAGCATTTTATCATATTCTGGCATTCTGTTAATCACACACCAGGACATGTCATTTACTCCTGAAAAGCCTTTTTGAGGAATTCCTACTATTCCGTTGTTACAGAAGAGAAAACAAAGTCATAAAGAGGTTAAAAGTAAAACAAACTGAAGCTGGAGAGATGGCTCAGCTGTAAAGACCACTGTTTGTTCTTCCAGAGGACTCTAGTTCAATTCTCAGCATCCACATGGCATCTCACAACTGTCTGTAATTCCAGTTCCATGGAACCTGACACCCTCACACTGACTTTTAAGAATAGCTTGACAATGATATTTGTGAACTACATCAACAGTGTTCTAAGGCAACTATATAAACTAAATTGAAGCCAGAATCATGGTATGTTCTTAGACTTATGGTTAGGAATGCCAGAAAGGAACTCTGGGTTCTTTATTGTTGTTATTATTATTATTATTACTATTATCATTAATTGTTTATTTATTATATGGTGGTGTGCCTGCATCCAGAAAAGGGCACCAGATCTTATTATAGATAGTTGTGAGCCACTATGTGGTTGCTAGGAATTGAACTCAGTACCTCTGGAAAAATAGTCAGTGCTCTTAACCTCTGAGCCATTTCTCTATCCCCAAGCTCTGGGTTCCTCTTTCAAAATTAGCAACCCTGCCTCAAGACTATACATGACCATGTGAACCAAAATCCAGTCCAGGCACGAATCCCTTTTAATGAACAGCTTTGGAATTGGAACTCTATATTTTCATGGTGAAATAGTTTGTATCTATTCTTCAATTTCAGCCTGTTTCCTAAATGACTTTAGGAACTCTTTACTTGGGAATATTATAGTAGTCTTGGAAGCCATTGAGGGTGAGTGTTAGGAATCTCTTAAGGCTTATTAAGGAGAGTATCTCCTCCAGGACAGAAGAATTGAGTCTGCCTAGTTTAACAGTTGATCTAGCTGGATCTGTCAATCACCTGGGCATGATACAGCCCCTCAGGAAAACTGATCCATCTAAAGCCATACTAAGGAGGTAGGAGGAATAATTATCCCCTTAATGAGATAATCTACTTGATCTTAAAGAAAGAAAAAAAAAACTTCACAAACACTTGTGGAGTTTCCTCATGTAAGACTTCTGAGAAAGCCTACTTTTCTGAGTTACTCAGAGGAGTGTAAATTTTTCTTGGACTTTCTCTTTTTCTAAAACTTAGTATGCTTTCCCTGAGGCCCTGGGATTGCTCACTCTTTCTCTGACGTCTGACGCTCCCTGTCTTCCGCCTTGTGGCTACTTACAAATGGCATGTCTTTCTCTCTTCCTCCTCAATCTTCCTCCAGTTGGGAAGATTTGTAGCTTGTCTGCTCTGTTGTTTTCCTCTTAAACTGTAATAACATAGTTCTTCAGGTTTTTTGTTTGTTTTGTGTAATAATCCATAAAAAGAAACACAACCACATTCAAAAATGTCCAATTGCTGTCGACATATTAAGTGATGAATATTGTAATTACAGAATAAGTCAAGTGATACTCTTTCTAAATATTTATTTTTGTTTGTTTGGTTGGTTGGTTGGTTGGTTGTTTGGTTTTGGGGTGTGTTTTTGTTTGTTTGTTTGGTTGGTTTTTTTGTTGTTTTTTATTTTGGTTTGGGGGGGTTGTTTGTTTTTTGCTTTGTTGTGTTGTGTTTTGTTTTGAGACAGGGTTTCTCTGTGAAACTGTCCTGGAACTAGCTCATGTAGACCAAGCTGGCCTCAAACTCACAGAGATCTACCTGCTCTGCCTCCCGAGTGCTGGAATTAAAGGTGTACACCACCATCGCCCAGCATAAAGTTGTTTCTTCATTGGCCCATTACTCTTGAATAGGTGTGTTGTAGTTTCTTGTCAGAGTAATTCCCTGTTCTACAACTTGCCTCAGAAGGCAGAACTTAGGTTATCATCAGTCAGGCTCTCTGATGCTCTGACATTTACTATATTTGGCTAGCAAGAGGAACCAAGAAATCAGAGACAGGAAGAGAGTACTTGTTTCTGCTTCTTCTTTCCTGCCTGGCTGTTGTTTCGACACCAGCTGTTTTTCACTAGCCAAAGCCAGAGTGCTTGCTGCATCACTCTTAGCATTTGTCTAGTTACTTGGCAACAGCTTTGACCTCACTTCGAGTTCAGTTGCAAAAGCAACTTGGTTTCTGTTGCTTCTCCATCACTTGCAAATCAGCAATTTACCTTTCCTGCTCATAACATAAATATAACAACTTCATTCAATTAAGCAGTGCATCGACTCTTACTAATAATGTTGGAGAGGAGATTCAAGAAATATGAGCAACAGTGAGAAACAGAATTTCAGTTACATACCAGTAAAGCAGCACAAATTGGACCGTGGATGATGTAGAGGAGATGGGTATCTGAACTGATCCAGCAACTGGGGAATAAAGTGGAGATATTATATAGAAGGTTTTCTTTTCATTCAGCTCTAATAGAAGTCACAAATGGAAGGTATCTTACTTGTCATTGTAATACAAGCTTCTGGCAATGGCATGGATGCAGGCAGGAAGCAGCGGGAACCCTACAAATAAAGCAAAAGCAAATGAATGGGTTGGGTACCTTTCCTTACAGATGAGGCTTCTCAAAGAAGTCATGAATATAAAATTCCAAGACACTTTAGTAACAAAAAATAACTAGCCACCTAGCTGCATATGTATAGCCAAGCAATAATTGTGACAAGCATCAGGTTTGAATATCATTTTGAAATAGTAAGATTCCAGATTTAAAGCCATAATATGCTGCTTAGTCACAATTCTTGAAAGGATTTCTGTATTTACATAACTTCTGTGAAATGAACTTGGCTAACATTTAATAGCAAATGTTGGAAAAATTTGAGACTGATAACTATTTCTTCTGTAAAACAGATTCACAGTAAGCCATGTTGTGCAGCAAAAGAGAAAAATATGTTTCTTATACCAAGATTTGTGCATGTTTTGAAGCTTCTAAATAAGATCTTGAAAAAAATGAAGTAAAGAATTGTTTTATAGAAACAATCAGGATGTACTGACAATTTGATATGGGAACATGCACACTTCTAAATCTACCTCAATATCTACATCTCTAGGTAGATAATTTAAAAACTAAAATGTCTCTTTTATCTCTGGAAACTAGTTTTACTAAATCCATTTCCTATGTATTATGCTCATATACATTATCCCAATGACCTTAAGAAACACAGCAGTATATTTTGCTGTTAGATTTTTGTAACACAATGTCAAGAGATTATGTGAAAGAAGTAGATATTTTGCATACTTTAATTTAATTATTGACACATCTAATTTAAATATAAAGTAACAATTTAAGTAAATATAGGGCTGGATGTGATGAGTGATGACACACATCTTTAATCCCAGCACTCAGAAGGCAGAAGCAGGTGAATCTCTGTGAATCCAAACCCTTCCTGATCTACATAGAAAATTCTAAATAAAAAAGATCCGGTCTCAAAAACAAAGGAAATTCAGAAGAGTGCAGAGACTAGATCTTTAATTCATAATTTTAATTTTATTGTTTTAGTCACTATGTATTCAGCTAGCATAAGTTTGTCATTGGAATATCAAATGTTTAGAAAACGTATCATATTATTAGTCAAAATGAGACAAGAGAAACCATGAGTTTGTGACACTTTGCGTTACATATTTCAATTTACCACAATGAGGAAAACCTCAATTTACATGTTAAGAATGATTGTAGCTAAGCGACATTGCCCAAAAGCTAAAAGCCTCCTTAATCAGATGATTATGAAGGTGATGACAGTGGCACCTACCCCAGCCAAGAAAGTAATACCACATCAAGTGTTGCTTCTCTGCAAACACAGCCACCACGATGAGTGTGTGTAGGTAAATGCCTTCACAGAGCATCCAAAAGTAGTTACAGCCCATCAGGTAAAGATGAATGAACTGAGACACTTTACAGCTCACCTGTGGTGGGGAAAGAGTGCTTTCTTAGTCTATGAAATCCACACATGAAGTGACTGTCCAGTTGATTTCAGAAACCATGGTACGTTTCTTCCCCTCACACAAATGTGCACACTAGGGAATCTTGCTTGTACAATGCTCTTTTGAACACTCATTCCATGATGGTTCTAAAGGTACTAACCATGAAGTCTATCAATTCATAAGAATCATGTGATAGTCCAAACCAATCTTTTGCTTAGAGGTGTCTGTTTTTCTGATGTGTTCTGATTATTGTAAATTATGAATATAAACAGCCCACACATACACAACCGCACATCTGTTTGATTGTGGTGTTGCTTTCAGTTAGAAAAACTTTGATAATCTTATCTGACTTAATTAAACATGTCCAAATACTTGGCAATTTTTGTATCCTTCATTCCACAGGCATAAATAAAACTTACTAAGTCATTCTATAATGAATCTACAAATTATCCAAATATAAAATATGAGATTTTTCATATCAGAATAAAGGTAAAGAACTGTAGTTTAGCTTGCTCTTTTCCTTGGGTTTCCACTTTCTCTTCTCTTAGAGAAGGAAGAAGAGTTTCAGATATCAGATAAATGAAACGCAAAGGAGCTGAGAGATAGAAATCCTTCTCATCAAAGTGAGTGAGTGTGTGGCAATATGTGACAATCTTCAACTTCCAGTCGGAATTCAGTACACACTTAGTGGTTATTATAATTTTTGAAATAAATATTATGTTTGAAACCCAAAGCACTAGGAAATAAGTTTAAAGTTATCATGGGTTAGAACAAATAGCATTTGCCTAAATGTCAACCTAAAGCCTTTGTACAGTTATCATTTTTACATATTTATCAAATTCTTCAATATTTCTGTGAGGCATGCATTGTAACTGGTCACGCACCATACAGGTAAAGAACTAGTAGTAGAAAAGTGAAATTATTTGCAAATATTCATATAATATTAATGGGAGCTGCATCCTAAACAAAAGTCTACAATTTTATTTTCATTATTAGAGGTAATAACACCTTCCTAAAGGATATTTGTAATGTCATTTCTTCATTTAGTATATGTGAAAAATTCATTTACAAAATTTTAAGTAATGCAGATGATCTTAAATATAACAAGATGATATTCAAGTTTCTCAAAGATAAAATAATTTTAACTACATGGTTTGAGTATGTTTATGATGTATTTAACCTTTGATATTTATATAAGTATTACATTCTTTTCTAATTCAATTTAATCTGGCAGGTGGATCTCTGAGTTTGAGACCATCCTGGTCTACAGAGAGAGTTTCAGGACACCCAGAGCTGCACAGAGAGACCTATCTCAAAAAAATTTTAATTAAAAAATTAATATAAATTATTATGAGGGAGATACTTCAGAAAAATATTTCTGTGGAGGCACTGCTAGTGTAACCAGAAAATACTTTTTTTCCAAATAAAATATTCACTGTACATTAACTCATACTTTGTCTGTTAAACATATATCCTTATGCACAAATGTAAGATTCAGAAACTCTTGCTATATTAAAAAATGGACCCTCTCATACCTAGAGAAATTCATTCTGAAATGGCAGAATGCCAGCCAGAGTTTTTATATTGCTAATAATATCCTGGTCTGTTTCCTACCCCAGTAACTTTAGAAAGAAACACAAGAAAGATTAAATCAACCGGATACACATGTGCAAACAATGGGAGAAAATTTGGGAATTTGCAAATTACCCTAAAAACATATACAAGAGTGTTATTTATTGGCCCATTTGTTGGACATTCCTTCCCTTCTCTGATTTCAGTAACTAGATAATATAACCCAGAAAACACAACTTAATGTTCCCAAGAGCACACACACACACACACACACACACTACATATTGACACACACTACACACACACACATACATACCACATACACACCCAACATACATGCACACACCATCACACATACATCACACACATGGACACCATATATTCACACACAATACACATAATCACACAACACATCTACACACATTCCACATACACACACACCACACATATGATGTATACTCACACCCATACATACACACACAGTTACCACACACAGACACACACACACATCCATATCCAAAATTAGAGTTTTGCCACAGTGTTAAAGTAGGTGATTCTAAAAGTGTGAAAATTTCTGCTATATATGCATGTATTTGACTCCAAGTATATTTACATACATATCTTAATAATTTATATACATATAAAGTTTAACATATATTTTTAAAATATAGCTTATAAGAAGAAAATTTTACCAGTGTATGTATTAAGACAATAATGATAGAGCTTTCTAACACTTTATTTTAATGAGTTTAACATTACACAAAGTATGTAAATCCTTATGACCTAAAGCCGTGGAAATACTGAAGGAAATTTACCTTCCTAGACTGTAATATTGCTAAAGTATATTTTCTGTATGTCAAATCCCAAAGTTTACATATGTATTTACTTAATGACATATATATTCCATACCAGAAAGCACTTCTACCCCATGTCTCTTCCCACTGGTTTTCAAAGGTGCAACCATGCAATACTTACAGGATTTGTGGCCACTAAAGCCTGGTTATTGGCCACCGCAGTGAGGTGAATGATTGTCACAATCGAATTACAAACAAATGAAAAGAACAGGTTCTTATGCAAGGTGATCCGTTGACAACTTAGGCTCCTACAAGGCAAAAGAAATACACTGTGTTGATATCATAAAATGTTTCTGCATTTTTAATTAGATGTAATTTAAATAAAGTATACTTTCAACTAAAAGGGGTTGCTCTAATTTTGAAAAAATTATTTTGTTTATCCATAATTTTCACTTGACAAAAATTTTAATTGAGGAGAAACCCAGGTGGAAATGAGTTGCTTTAGTAGAAGTGCCCATATGTAGGGGTGGGGAACATGCCTGTTCAACACCTCTTCATTAATTTCTCCTGTTTAATTCAAACACAATATTTTAACTTTTCATCAAAAGCAGAGAATGGGATTCAATGAAGTCACATAATCAAGAACATGTTGATAATGAACTTGAATATTTCAATTTATCTGAGACTCTCACACATACAAAATGCCTCTAGTTACACTACATGGTTTGCTTTGTACATAGGCAGATATATTTTATTGGGTTGGTAATGACCATATTTATTTGACCACCCATGGGAAATGTAACTGTTTTTAAACTAGCTGCATTGATGAAAATTAGAAATTATTGAGGATTGTTCAGTTTTGTTGATTATTTTTCTGAGGGTCCAGATGTCATCAAGATATAAAAAGAATTTGACCTTTTATCATTTGTATAAAACAAAGGAGAATTATCATTTGTATAAAACAAAGGAGAGTAGATTTCAGAAAAGGTATCAATACAGTTTAGTGAAGCAACTTTCCAGATGTACTTCACAGTCAGTCTTAGATTTTTTTTTTTTCATACGTGAATACTTTGACCACATTCAAAGGAAAATTCCAGCACAAATTCAATTCATGAAGCAATTGAATAGTTTCATTTGAGGTTCCAGGTAATGATAACAAAATGAAACCTACATGACACTAACTGCTGACTGGCAAAGGTAAGCTCATGTGTAGGAATCCATGATGCATCATTTCATTGCAGAAAATAAAACCTCATATGTTTTACTAAAACTAAACCAGGTAGTCTTTCTTGAGAAACTACCCTACACAATTCCAAGACCTCTAATTTGAAAAATAAAGATTTATTATAATATTGTCACTTCCCTTTATATTGAAAACCAGAATTGTCAAAATTTGGAATTAGAATGAATATCAGTGCTTTCCATGTTTAAAAATACAGTTTAGATTATTTTTCTTCTGGAATGTTTGCAGCTATGTGAATAAATATATATAAATATATATATATATATTTACACACACACACACACACACACACATTTCCCTAAGGACAAGGAAATCAACATAACCCAAACTAATGTTTACAGGTTGCCGATACATACTGGATGCTATTGGTGAAGATTTATAAAAGCTTACTGATGGGGTAGTTCTTAAAATAACCATTGAGTGTAGTTGAGACAGTCATTTAACAGCAGGTGTTTGCAATACATTAAAATAGAAAGAATGTTGACTCCTGGTTTCATGCTAGAGTCAGTAAACTTGGCTTGATGTCACAGTGCATAGAAGCAATGAGATAAACTTTGATCTAAGAGTAGAATGATTCTTGTAATATAAAGAAATTCAACACTGAAATACAAGCCTATTTTTGAAAAAATAGCAGCAATGACATGATTTTGTTTATTAACAATGATGACAACAGAGAGTGAGATCAACAATTAACTTATCCATGGAGCCCTCAACTAATGCCTGTTGAAAATAGGAGCCAACACCCATACATAAACACTGAGTCGAACTAGAACCCAGAAGCAGATGGAGAGGACAAGACCATGCGGCAGAAACATATACAGACAGCTTACCTGAACAAGGAGGAGCTAAGGGCCACTAGACTGATAGCTGGGAAGCCAGCAGGGGACTGACTCGGCCCCCCTGAATATGGGTCTCAGCCAGAAGGTCTGAGCAGTCTAAGAGACCTCAGACAGTGGAGCCAGGATGTATCCCTGGTGCACAAAAGGACTTTGCAAACATATCCCCCATGGAGGGATAACTGCCTTATTCTAGAGACAGGAGAGAAGCCCTAGTCCCTACTTCACAGGACCTGTCAGATCTACATGACCCCAACTGGATGGCATTCCCCTACATATGGAATTGGGGTGGGGAGATGGGAGGGGAGGGTGGTTAGAGTGCCTGTGAGAGGGCAGAGAGGGTAAAAGGGAGGGAGGGAGAGGGAACTGGGATAGACATGTAAAATAATAAATTAAAAAAAAAATGCTTTGACTCCAAAATTTAACTTGAAGAACAAGTTACTGGGGAAAAGGATTTCAAATGAAAAGATGTGGATTCCTTTCAGACTAATGTGGTTTGATCACGCCAGACCGCCTGAAACAGAGTACAAGCTGATCCTACATTCCAAACAGCTGGACAAAACAGCCCTACAGACTACAGCTAGGATATCTGAATCTTCTTCGAATCCCCCCAAGACAGCGCCCCTTACCAGCAGGAAGTAGTTTGGAAAGAACAACACCCAAATTCCCAAATATTGTGTATAAATGTTTGTTTTCATTTAATTGGACTTTGTTATATAAAATTAAATAAAAAAAAGATACAATAGTCTCCTAATATGGATAGTAGCTTCATATCAGAATTGAAGATCAGTACTCATTAACTGTGCTACCACACAAATGGAATGGGTTTTTTTGTTTGTTTGTTTGTTTGTTTGTTTCTTTAATGTAGAAAGATAAAACTGCCAAATGTGACCTCGACATGATTGAATTTTTTAGTAGCTATAATATAAGAAATATGGGTTAGGGTAAAAAAAAAAAACAATGATGACAACAGATGAATAGGATGGGACTCCTTAAAGATGCTCTTATTACAGTAACTAGTATTATGCGTAGTTTATTTCCATAATGTATCACTCTCCTGTGATGGAAGTCATGAACATACAACAGTCTGCTGGGAACTTCCACTGTTTCTACGAAGTACCAAGGACTGTTTAGGAAGGAACTACTTAGCAATGCACATATTTGCTTCTTTGAGTTACACAATTTAAATAAACAAGATACCAGCAAAGAAAATATTTCCCTTAATGGGATTAGTTTGCCTTTTTCTGCTGAATATGTCTCTAATCTAAATCAATGGATAAGATATATACCCCCTCTTTAAAAAACAAACAAACATAATTTTCAAATTGTGGTTAATTGCCATCCTAGAGCCTTTACTCAGTAGCTGATGGAAGCAGATGCAGACACCCACAGCTAAGCACTGAACTATATTCCTGGAATCCAGTTGTTGAGAGGGAGGGGGTATATCCTCCCCCTCCCAGCAATCAAAACCATGCTGGAGAAACCTACAGAAATAGCTGACCTGACATAGTGAGAGCACATAGACCCCAGTTGTAAAGCTGGGGAACTAGTATTGGATCAAAACAATCCCTCTGATTGTAGGTGCCAGTTAGGAGGCCTGGGCAGTCTATGAGACTTCTAACAGTGGAACCAATATTTATCCCTAGTGCACAAATGGACTTTGGGAGCCCATTTCCTATGAAGGTATATTATTTCAGCCTAGATATGTGGAGGAGGGCCTAGGCCCTACCCCAAATGATGTGACAGACTTTGATGATCCCCTGTGAAAGGCCTCACTTAAAGAAGATTAGAAAACTTGCTTAAAGGGCAAATTTGAAGCATTTTAAAATAATTGATTACAAGCATTAAAGACGTCTTTTTTATAGTAACAGCAATACATGCCAGACCTGGGGACAGAAGCCTGAAATCTTAATTATTTGGGAGGTCAAGGCAAGAAGACAAAATGTTCAAGGCTAGCCTGGGCCACAGAGGAAGTTCCAGACCAGGTTTAAAAGTTTAACTAAATTTTTTTTAAAAAATCACTATGCTAGGAAAATATTTCAGTAGTAGAGCACCCACCTAGCATACATAGAGCCACAGCTTCAGTCTCCAATGCTGCAAACTGATTAGCTAATTAATATTAAAACTAGGACTGGAGAGATGGCTCAGGCGTTAAAGGCTAGGATCACAACCAAATAAAATTAAAGCTAAAAGTGGTAATATTTGAATGCAGTAGTAAATGAAAGTTGAAAAATAGGACCTGGGGAATATAGTAGCAACATTTATAATGATAACAGTTAGTACATGGTATCCATGTATGAAACTCAAAAAATAAATAAAAATATAATATTAAGAGATAATTATAACCATTGATATTAATGACATGCTCATTGAAAAGATTGGAAGAAGTTAAAGGGTTAACCATAGTTGAAAACTTTTAGGTTGCTCTCTGTACATGTGAACATCTGCACTCTCCTAGCCTACATGTCTGTTCCCCTCAGAAATTTCTTTTCTATGTGATTGTCCCTTCCCCGATCTGTCTTAAATGGTGAAAACTTAGGAATGAGCAGCTGGTATAGATTGTCCTCTGAAGATGTAACTGAGTGTCAGCCTACATAGCAAGCCACAGAGCTCTGCTTTAACAGTCCCGATATTCAGCTGAGCTGTCAAGACTGTTAGAATAAACTAGATCACTGCCAAACCAGTTCACTCTGTATTGAGAAAACATACCCCACTGCCTAAAATGTTGGCCTATTGCTTTAGTGTCCTCCATTTCTGCCTTTAGGCACTGCACAGAATAAACAAATGCAGACAGATGCTATCTAACATATGGCTTCCATCAAGGTCTAGGGACAAAAAGGTCTCAGATTCAGTGATTCCTATTGTTTCTTTCTAAACATACTCATTAACACATGTAAGTAGATTGGTGTAGATAAAAACTTGTAAGTAAAATTTTTAAATCTAATTATTAAGCAAATTATTTACATAAAGAAACATGCTAAAATTTTGAGATAAAATTTGTCCTAGGGACTGCAGGGCATTTTGTAATGTGCTGGGAAAATCCTCTTTCACAGCTAATGACCTTTTTTTTTTTTTTTTTTTTTTTTAAGACAAGGTCTCCTTATGTAGTCCTAGCTGGCTTCAATCTTGTTATGCAGCTTAGGATGGCCTCAAACTCACAGATACTCAAATGCTTTTATCTCTGCCTCTAAATTAATTATCTTATTGAAAGGAAATGGAGAAACAGTAG